TCCCCCGGATAGAACGGGGTCTCAAACTCATGTCAAAGGTAAGCAGAGATTCAGCTGAGTGAAGGGAAGCAAAGCCAGGAAACTAAAGAAGTCTTCAGGGTGACTTTGAGTCCAACGCTTTTAGACTCAACCTGTGATCGTTTACCCAAACAAAACAACGTGAGGACACTTAAACCCTCTGCAAGTCAAGTTCCCTCTACAGGACCTTTGCCTGAGAGACCTGGGGTCTCATTTATAACTGTTGCGTACGCACAGAACGGGTTCTGAAGCTGGCGTACCCAGGTGTACGTTCATTTTGGAGGCATGGGAAATTGGCGACACAGACGGCGAAGTGGTGAATTGAAGCCTGCAGAACATATTGATGTCTCTAACACATTTTATTTCACTAAATATTAAACTTTACTGACAGATCCACGTCATTATAAATCATTCAAACCGATGGTTTTATTTAGGCTATAACTGAGTGAGCATGTAGTGAGCCGTTTCTGATAAGTGACTTTCATTATGACAATATATAAACATAAAAAATATAAAAGTCTGCCTCATACACATTTCATCAGCGCCGTCTCGCCTTCATTAACCCGGACGGACCTCAGAGGAACAAACTGTACACTAATGTAATCACTGATGTAGAGTTAAACATTAGACTAACACCAGTCTAACCATAGAGCCACCAGTTTTCATTAATATCTTTCAATATTGTGCATTTATCATCAAGTGTGGCTTTTAGTTTTAATAAAGATGACGCACAGAGCGCACAGAGACACGGCGGTGGCTTCATACATTTCACCTTCTCGGTACTCAGCACATCTTCATCAGCTGCACGTATTTAATCTGTAAATAATTCAAGTGTGGACATTAAGTCGGGGCATCTCTGACACGATCATTAGGTCTATATTTCCTCATAATTAGTCACAGAGCAGATGGAGTTTCCCACAAAAAAATGTGGCCAACAATCAACCTTTTTTGTTCGTTGAGCAAACCTTTGATTAATAATATGATAGAATGAGGGAGACTGCTGACTGACGTGAGCACTCTGACAATATGAAGAAGTCAGTGTGGGTTCCGTAAACATGTAAACATTGCAGATATACTTGTGCGTGATGATGAACGGCGTATGTTTTGGCACATAGGACAGGGTGAATGCAGCAGCGACGTGGTGTCATTCTCTGATTTTTGTTAAGTTTGTGATCCTCCTGCTGCAGTAAACTACCGACATGTCCATTTTATCCTTCACTTCATTCACAAGTTCCTTTGTTTCTGGGTCAGAAAGTTTAGTTTCTCTGTCTAAACTTCCTGTTTTCACAGCGATACAGCGCTGGAAACCTTTGATCTGCCCCTCCTTTGTATCGAATTTCATTCACAAGCTGCTTTGCATTGACCGTTTATGGTTGAATGTGGGCGTGTAGAGGGCGGAACATGGGACTAATCTACGTGCGCACATTTCCAGGTGGATCTGATCTGATTTATAAAGGGAACATGGCGTGCAGGTGTGCGTACAAACAGTTTTATAAATCTGAATCATTTTGTGTGCACGCCTTTTCCGGGTTTTTGGCACACGTACATTTTTAGTATGGATTCTACGCACTCTTTTATAAATGAGACCCCAAGATCTTTTCCTAAGAGACCAGGGTCCTGCTTTATAAACAGTGTGTAAGAACATTCCATCGCAAAGAGTGGGATTTATCAACTTGTGTAAATGTGTGTAAATATAAGCACAGCTCTGAGCACGCTTACGCACACAATCTAGCAGTTGAACATTGAAACTACAAATAAAAGAACTACAAGTGTCACAGCACGCGTTGGTCAATCTCAACGCAGATGCATGTTCCGAGCTTTCTTTCATTAAAAACCTCAAATAAGTGATTTTGTCCAGTTTGAAACAGTCGTTGTTGCCTTCATTTGATCCAAAACCTTCAAAAGAGCGTTGTGACAACATGGCTTGTTTTGCATCAGTAGATGATTTGCGGTTCACTTGCCGCCCGAGAAGTTCTGATTCTGCAGCCATGAAGCGATGTTTCAGTTTGTTGTTCTCTTTTTTTCAACACGTCAATGCAGCTGTAACGCTCAAAGATGTCCACAGTGACCCTGATATCAGAATTCATCCACTTCCTGCAGAGGGCGGGGTTTCTTCTGTTTTTTATTGGAGTATATGATAACCTGCAGCACTTCAGACCTACAGACTACTACTGTTGGTAGATCACAGTGACGCGTCCTGTCCGTCAGAGGGCGGGGCTTCAGGGCTCATAATCTCTGTGTTTTGTTGTTGCTTCAGATTCTGCAGAGCATCGCAAACCACGTCCTGTTCACCAAAGAAGAACACATGAGGCCGTTTAACGACTTTGTGAAGAGTAACTTTGACGCAGCACGAAGGTGAGCGATGGACTAAAGCCGTGACTGGACTGTTTTCTGTCTGTAAGTTATTCACCACTTTATTGTCCTCTTCAGGTTTTTCTTGGACATCGCCTCCGACTCTCCGCCCAGCGACTCAGTCAACCACAGTCTGTCGTTCATCAGCGACGGAAACGTGCTCGCTCTGCATCGCCTGCTGTGGAACAACCAGGAGAGGATTGGACAGTATCTGTCCAGTAACCGGTGCGCACTCAGCGTCTCATCAGACACAGAAAACACGTCTCCGTCATTGTTTTTCACTTCATTTACTCTCCTTTGACCTTTGACCTCTAGTGACCACAAGGCCGTGGGCAGGAGACCGTTCGACAAGATGGCGACCCTGCTGGCCTACCTGGGACCTCCTGAACACAAACCTGTGGCTGACACACACTGGTCCAGTCTGAACCTGACCAGCTCCAAGTTTGAGGAGTTCATGACCAGGTAGGCTCCTACACACCTGTGACGTCATGTTCCACAGCAGTCCAGTCATGAAGTCCAGAACCAACAGAAACCCATGTGACCTGTCTGAACCTGAAGGTGGTGAACAGAGGGTTTGACCTTTAATTCAAGCTCATCGGTCTCAGCAGAGACTCCTCCTCTCCTCTTTTGATTTTTTCTTAGCTCCTCCCACTTTCTGAACGTTTTTTTCAGTGACAGATTTGATCGACAGTTCAGGAACTGTCTGCCGTGAGGAAGGTGTGTTTTTATAATCTGTTCATTCTCTTTCAGGTCGTTTCGCTTCAGTGGTCGACTCTCAGATTTTAAAATGTAACTTCAGATCGTGACGAGCGGCCATCTTTGTTCCTGTATCCAGGCCTTAAACCAAACACTAACCACCATCGCTAAGGTGTCACGACTGTTTCCTCCTCTAAGCAGGAAACGACCATACACACTCCGTCCGTCCTGCTGGTAATCTGAACGTCACCCCAAAGTTTTCCGTTCATCTCTCAGCTAAATGATTGTCTACAACTTAAAATATATATATAAATAAATCTTCTCTTAAAAAAAAAAAACGAATCAGCTGATGGCGTTTTCTTCTTGTAGACGGACGCTAATGAACGTGGTTAACGGAGGTTTGAGGTCCGCCTTGTCTCTCAGAGAGACATTGTGTTTGTGTCGCTGCAAACAGGAAACTAATCAACGTCTACTTTGACCTGAAAAACAGGAACACTGCAGCCTGTGTCCTTCTCGGCAGACATGTTTGTAGTTTTCAGACGCTGTAACGCTGTTTTGACGACACTGACATGATGCTGCTCAATACGCTGAAACTGTTCTGATTGGTGAAATATACGGACTTCCTGTCTCTCCGTGTGTTGGATGATATATCCCGCTTAATCTTAAAACCAATGAAAATGAAACCTTCCTCCTCCGAGGGATTCTCTAAATGTGGCGTGCAGCTGGTTGTTGGTCCCTCTTTAAACATGGAGGATCATTGAAACACTAAATGTAATAAAGGAGAATAAAGTATCATGTCCCTCTAATAAAGACCACATCACGTCATAAACCCTGATCCTGATCCCTAAGTTGTGTCTTGCAGGCATCAGGTCCACGAGAAGGAGGAGTTCAAAGCCTTAAAAACCCTCAACATCTTCTACCAGGCCGGAACGTCCAAGACCGGGAACCCCGTTTTCTACTATGTAGCCCGAAGGTAAGAACTGGACTTGGACCTGGACCCTGTTAGCTTGGTGGTTTTATTGTGAAAATACTGTTTGATTTAATTAGAACAGAAAGAGGCTGATAGGTAAAGATGATAATTTTTTTAAGACGTTAGGGGGAGGAGTCTCTACTGGTCGCATTATTGGTGCATTTTTCATCACTTTTTGAAGCGCACCAAAACCTGTTAAATATTGTATAATGTAACCTCCCACCACTAGTTGGGGCTGCAGCTGCATTCATATGGTGTCGGACAAATCTGAAAAAGGAGTTTCCGAGTTAGAAAGTGTTCAAGTCGGAAACTCAGGAAATAATTATGTTATGTTCAGATACTTTTGATTAATTCACTTATTGCTCAGGTCTAACTTTACATTACACACGCTGTTTGTTGTTGTTGTTGTTACAATATTCAGACTTTAGGAACTGAAAACACCTGAATGTAGCATGTCGCTCCGGTCAGCAGCTGCTGCGCTACGACCTGAAAGTAAACAATGGCGCCCTGTAGCGCGGCACAGTTTGTCAGTATTTAGATAATTAAAATGGAGATAAAGTGATGTCAGCTGTGGAGGGTTAACTGGGATACGGACCGGAGTGATGTGTAGTCATATTTAGCACAGGTATGTCGACGATCACCTGCAGGAAGGCTGCTGCTTATAGTTTAAATGTGACGTGAACTCTTCTTGAACGTTCATCTGAGCCAAAGCATTTCTGAAGATCCAGAAATCAGTGGATTTTAACTTTCATGAAATAATCTTTAAAAGTTTTAGATGACATTTAAGGGACAGAGAATATCTAATGTCTTAAAGCCAGATATAAAGCGTGTGAACGGTAAAACCTGAGTCAGGAACCATCTTAGTCCAGTTTAAGGTCTGAAATCCAGGACTGATTTATTTATCATGTATCATGATTAACAGTCAAGTTGAATAGATGCAAACAGAAACCAGATCACCGTCATCATCTGTGTGATTCACCTTTATTCTTATTGAAGCTCACACACGTCTGCTCCGCTTTAACCCCTCGTATACATCAAATTAAAAGACTGTAGCCTGACCTCTGACCCTCGGCCGCCTTCACATGTCTCAGTCCAGATATTCAGGACTAACTTTGTCTTGACTTGGTAAACTAAATGAATGAATCTGGTTGGTTTGAAGGGAAGTTTCTTTTTTCTTCACACTAACAAAGGTAGGACTTAGAAACGCTCCTCTCTCTGGACAGAGCTCTTCTTCTTCTGTCCTCTTTTTTAAGGTAGACTGAATACCAGTTTGTTTAGTTAATTGTCTAACAGTTAAAGAGACCAGCACCAATATTATGATTAGAAAACGTCCTTAATATAACTGACAAATGAAAGGTTGTTGTTGTGATGGACATTCACCTCTTTGAGACGTATAAAACCGTTCCTTAAGTTTGACTTCACTCTGCTCTTCAGTTTCTCCACTTTGTTGTGCTTTGATTTCTCTGATTAGTTTGCTGCTAACTAAACTCAACACGTTGAACTGTTACACTCAGTTACAGTACATTTCAACTGCAGACAACAACACATACAGCTAATCATTAGAGTTCTTTTTTTCCATTGAACTAGCCCTTTATTGGTTCTTTTCCTAACGGGCTTTGGAATGTAATGCATATTTTCAGTCCTAGCAGGACGACTTGTAGCACAAGCATTACTATTACTATCAGAAAGCATGGAGCAAAGCGGTCTGTCACTGTGCAGGCATTTGACTGAGAGTTGAACCATATATTCAGATATTTGAGAAGTCTTGCAGGTTTATAAAGTGTGAGGGACTCTGAGAGATTTGAGAAACTTGATGACGACATAAGGCAGTAACAGTCATGGAGATGCTAGGTGGACTTGCATTCATTGTCAACAATAATCAGGTACGTTCTGTTATCAGTCAGAAGGTGTTAAACAAGACAAATACAGTCAGGATGACCGTTTGAGTCTGGAGGAGAACTGCGGATCCTTTATTCCGTGAGTTCTCTACTTTGGGCTTTTTCGTTGAAGACCGTGGTCGGGCTGTTGTGCTTGTACGTGTAGACAGACTGTCCAAACTGGTGGAAGGCGTCCAGACAAACATCATGTGGTCACTGGAATCACTCACCCCTCCCGTGCCCTGAAATATTCCAGTCTCGAAGAGCGCAGACTTCGCCTGGTAACTCGATGTCACCTCTGCAGTCCTTGCAGGTGATTGACTATCATGCCCTTCACCTCTGCTGTCCACCCAGAGCGGGGGCTCTGTGAACAGCGCAGAGTGCCACTCCCTCCCCGGAGTAGCCACATGGGTTTGCCCACAGATTGGTCTGGTGTAACAAGGGCAGCCTAAGATGGTTGCACGAGTCTGCTCGGCCCATCTCAGGAGCCTCGTTATGTTTTCTTCTTCTTCACAAGCCCAGGGGTTATCCCCAAGGGTCATCACCTGTAGCCCCGTCAGCTTATCAAAGATCGCTTCAGACAGCCAGGAAAAGCGGTTTGCATGCAGATAGAACTGAGACAGCCTCGGCAGTCGATCCAAAGATCCAGGCAAGATCTGTGTCAGAAAGTTGTGGGACAAATCGATGCTCTCCAGGTTGTGCGGCATGTTGGTGGGCACAGTCCAGAACCGGTTGTGACTGAGATTGAGAGTTTGGAGGGTCGGCAGCGTGTTGTTGATGAAGACGACCCTCTCCAGCTCGTTGTCCGACAGGTCCAACACTTTCAGGTTCCAGTGGTATGCTGTGTCATTTTTGTCCAGAGAGCGTAAATGGTTTCCTGCTGCTCTGATGTCCCACAAAGACTTGGGTAAGGAGGGGGGCAAGCTCTCCAGGCGGTTGTAGGACAGGTCCAGGGTTCGCAGATGGACATAGTGGCTCAGCTCGCTGTCCAGATCTTGTAGGCTAAAAAATACATTAATGTATTTAATGCTTTCAAAAAACACTTCTGATGTTTCATTTATAAAGCTCCAACACAATGACACAACAGGCAGGTAAACAGTTATGTAAGTTTCAGTGAACAGTAGCAATTCATCAATTTGACTGAGACCCAATCACAAACCCTGCTCAGTCTTTCCATACTCTCCATGAACTGATATCAGCATGGAATGCTGAAGAACTGAAGAGGCAGACCCCATTGACCAAACTATAATCCCAGAATGCGACCAGTCTTAGATGTCTCAAGAATCTACCGATAGTTGGATTTCAATGACCAGGGAGTTTTAGCCTGGGTATTCCTTTTCAATTATCTGAATATTATAATATTAAACCTGAAGTCCAGGAATATCCTCCATTGCCCTTACAGTAAGATGAAAGCGCATGTGCTGTGAGCGGGGCCAAAGATCTACTTTTAGGTCCAGAAAAGAGCTACAAGTAGAAGCGGTTGAAAGTGGACACCACCCATTTTGTTCTGATTTCAAGCCTTCATACAGTCGGCTTGGAGAAAGCTGAACTAAAAGTCATTTTAGTAAAGCTTTCTCTAAGCCCCCTAATGGGGGGTTAGGGATTTGGGCTATGGTCTCCTTTTTGTACCAAAAACCAGGTATGTCCCGGTATTTATACTTATGAGATCAACATTTTGATGTGAAAGAAAGAGACTATTTCAGTTCTTCCATAGATGCCCTTGAAGTGCTTCCCTTCTTGAATCTATTTACTGTTATCCTCACCATCCACACTTTGCAAGCTGGAAGCTTCTGATGTGATGACGAGTCGCTCACGTGTGAGGCTCAGACTGATCTGTATCTGGGACAGCTACATATTTTTAGCAGCTTTGGCTACAACCTTCAAAGTATCACAGTATTATTGGAGGGAACAAAGCTTGCATGCAAACAGTCACTTGGAAGTATTGCCTAAGAATCTGATTGGATCCTTATAGTTTGCCTTACAGAGTCCAACGTTTGTGCCATCCTCACATCGGCCAAACATCTCCTTTTCTTTACCTTTGCTGCTGTAAGAAGACATTCAGCCTGATAGTTACCTGTTGAAAGAGAGGTTGAGGAAGCGGATGTTATGCTGCAGACCAGGTGGCAGCTTGGTTAGGCCTCTAGAGGAGCAGTCCACCACACGGTGTCCCCGGCTGCAGATGCACACAGCAGGGCAGATGGACAGCACCAAACCTCCCAGCAGCCCCCACAGCAGCAGGAGGAGCAGGCAGAGCAGAGAGGCAGAGCAGGCAGGCATGGTACAGACTCTAGATGATCAGAAATAAGAGAGGAACAGCAGGTAATCCAGGAATAAACCAAAATGAAGCTCATTGAAGTCATATGTTTGTGCACAGGGCTGCAGGTTTGGCAGAATTGGATGGTTGACCACGTTGGGCTAGTTCAAGGTTTCTAAACTGTCTTTCATGGTCCCCATCTGATGAAACCCTGACAACCTTTTTTTGTTTAGAACCCTCTTCAGGTTGTAGTTTTCAGTTCTGTAATCTAATCTGTCAACCTACACACAACGGGCTCAAAAGAACAAGCTTCCTGAGGGAAGTGCCTCCAGCACTGCTTCTCATATGAATGAATTGACTTCAATATGTTTGACTCATGTTTAAATGAAGAAAGCTTAAGGTGGTTGGTGTTAGCAAAGCCTCATAAATAGCCTTTTTGTATCTGTTGACTCGACTTGTTTTGATACTACGTTACACTTCCAATTGATTTCAGGAGATATCCTAAAGGTATCATATAGGCAAGCCCAAAGTTTACAGTTTGTCTTATGAAGTTAAACCTATGCTGCTGTTTCAACTCCTGCTCTTGTGTTTTTCACATCCCAACTGTGTCCTGACCATCACCCTTTGCAGCTTTATTTGTGCATTGCACATGCTTAGAATAAAGATCTGGGTGCGCTCATACAGTAGGAACTTTAATTGCCCTCCCTCTGGGACGTTGCTTTCATTGCTGCATCTCGGACAAATACTGATAATGGAGTGATCGTGTTTACAAGTGAAGAAGAAGTTAAAGATCAAGGGGCCTTGATGCATGTGTGAGTTGCAGCAGAAAAGGGAGAACATCTGAATGTCAATACATCCCTTCAATCCTCTCATCCAGTACAGTCCTGCTGTAAAGTGGGCCAGTTAGCTTAGCTTGGCTGCTCCTGGTGCATTTGAAAACGATGCTTGTCATCCCGAGTGCCAACCGGCTTGAAGCTCTGCCAGAGGGATGGAGCTCAGAGTGCTGCAGTGGATCTCAGTGCATTTAGGACGATACTGTGTGTCTGCATCTGCAGCTGTGCTGAGCTAGAGTGAAGCTCCATGTGTGTTTGTGTTTCCAAACACAGGACTTCAGGAGCCTTTAACATGTCCCAGAAATGTCCTCCCTCCGCAAGTGGAGGTTGCAGCTCTGCTGTGATTGTGACTAAAATCACTTCACTTAAATTTGTAATGTGACATTTGTCTCTGTGGATATCAGAAATCTGCATAGTAACAGCAAGGAGACTTTTCTTTCTTCTTTTAGTGGACTGCAATGTCTACATCTACATTTAAACATATCCCTGCCTTTCTCACCATACGTGTCGAGGTCGTACATTCTTTTCTCATTTTCAGTTTCTAAGCACTCACCTCATCCTCACAAGTGTCGCTCGGTCATCTCTCCTTGTGTCCGGTCGTCTCCTCCTGCAGCCCCGGCTGATTTCCTCCTTTGTCGTTTTTTATTCTCTGCTGTTGGAAAGGGTTTGCTCTCAGGCTTTATTTTGTAGCTGTGTTGGAAGTTGTGGCTTGTTACTGAACATGCTGCCCGAGAAAGAGAGCCCCCGTCCTGCTCGCTGCTCTGCAGGCTCCCGATGCAGCTCGACGTTTGGTTTAGGAGAGAGGAGAGAGCTGCAGCAGAGCGCCAGCCCACTCTGCTGCTGATGAAGCAAGCTGAAGCTGTGTGTGTGTGTGTGTGTGTGTGTGTGTGTGTGTGTGTGCTGACTACAGCATGCCTATAAGGAGCTCTCTATCTCTCTCTCTCTTGCTAATGCATTCTTATACACCCTTAAAAACACTTGATTTTAGGAAAAGATAAAATATCTGTTCGAGGTGAAAGGTGTCACTTAAACCATTCGATTTTTTTAAGACGCTTTCAGCTCATTATTTTGGTTCACAGCAAATAGAAATAACTCAAGGCTAACTTCTTCACTTAAATGGTTGCGTAAGATTTGGTTGTTGTGATTTATGCAGTGCTGCAGAGTCTTAGATATGAAACTACAAAAAAGCATTAGCACACCAAAAACTGCATTTCCTCCAGTGTCCACTAGAGTGTGTTCCTGCAGTGTGTTAGTCCCCATAGAGCCCCATGTTAAAATGTCCAACTTTACAGCTGCAGTTCTTCCAGTGTCCACTAGAGTCTGTCTCCTGCACCTCTCTTTGAGAGACAGGTGAGGTGAGTTTTTTGTTAAAAGGAGTCTCACATGTTTCATATGAACAGGATGGATCAGAGTGTGAAACAGTTGTAGCTCGTGTTGCTGTGAGGTAAGCCTTAGGGGGGTGCATTGACTCAGGCTGTGATTGGCTGAATAAGCTTTAGGAGGATACTGTCATTAATGAGCCACATTTTAATATTTAAGTATTAAAATCTATTCCAGGGGTTCTCAGCTGATGGGGTTGTGTGGAAATAGTTTGGTTTTAAAAGTGACATCCAAAAACCACGAGCTCAGCTGCCCCGGAAACATGCAGCGGAAACCAAACTCACACAGTTTCCTGCTCTTCAACTGTCAAAGAGAAGTGAACAAATATAGATTCACAGAAAATCTTTATTATTACCAACTCTTAAGGCAACAAGGCGAGCAGCGAAATCCACATTTCTCCTTCTCTGTCATGACTCAACGGCACATCACTAATCATGTTTCATCTGTGGAAGAATAACGTGTTTCTCATATGTGGCATGTTGGGATGAGTTTTTACTTCAGAATGACACCTGACTAAGCTTATTGTGAAGATTGTTGCCATGGTTACAGGAAGCATAAGGGTCATCTCAAAGATGTAAGCTTAAGTGGAAGAACGAGAGTGAAAAAGTTTGAGTCTAAAGTAATTTAAAGCCGATTTAAGAAACTCGAGCCCCCCCCCCCATTTAAATGTTTAAATCACTGGAATCAGAATTACACTCGATGGCAGTTTTAAAAGAAATGCTTCACAAGCTGCTTGAACATTTTCACAATATTTAATCTAACTTTTTACATGTTTGTTACAGCTGATTTACTTCAGGTTGTTCCAGATATTTAGACCAGCAATCCAGAGTGAATCCATCATGGAAACAATCACTCTGTTAAAGTGTGTTTCACTGTCTTCCAAAGACACATACAAGTCTTCCATTTCTGTCAGCTGGAAGCTAACAAAGTGCTGAGTCTGAGGAAGATGGGGGGGGTGGCTGACAGTCCAATGCCAGTGGTTTTTGTTCAATAATGGCGGTGCCTACACTTCTAGTACAACAGAGGAAGTGTGTGCACCAACAGTCTGTGATGTTGTTTCTAAGTGTAACTCTAGCTATATATATATATAGAGAGAGAGAGAGAGAGAGAGAGAGAGTACTAGCTATATAAAAATAGCTGGACACGCCGCATTACCGAGTTTCAGAGAGACTCACGTGTGCAGAGTAAGACGTGGGGCACCAGAACAGTACATATACAGGTTTATTTACTGCAGTGAAAGCCAAGATAAACATCACTTCTTGAAGTGACTCATCTTCCTGTGTTATCTGTCACAGTTGTTGCTTCTTGAAAACAGTGAAATTGATTAATTGTGGGGGTTGGGGATTCAGTTCAGTGAAGGTTGCCCATTATTCGGGGGGGGGTTCTGGAAGATTTTCCCCAGCACCAGATAGAGCAGTTGGACTTGCAGGAGGGTCTTGACTGACTTTGGCATCTCCTGAATTGTCGTTTGTGGTCAGTGGGTCTTGGGTTTGTGAAGAGGACTCTGAGTTTTCAACAGTGTCTTGAGTAGTCTCTTCGTCACCTCCAGCCATCCCGTTAGTTTCTTTATCATTTCCATTCACCTCTCGACCAAAGGTACTCCCTTCATTCTTGTTTCCAAACGTTGAGCCCGGCACCATGTCCTCCATCTCCTCATCTGTTTCTGGGAGCAAGGACAACCTTTTGGACAACCTCTGAGGCAGGAAGCTGGACAGAGAAATCCGGTTGGATGACCTCTGTGTCACCTGACCATTGTCAGCTCCCCCCTCTAGAAATGGTGATGGTCCGGCCCAGTCTTTGGTTGTTATCTGATGCCTCTGAAGCTTCCGTTTCTTAATGTAGATGACCAGGAATCCTACCATCATCAGTACCAGCGCCCCGCCAATTATCCCTGCAACAGCTTTACTGTTGTCTGATTGCTTTATGGGGGGGTCTTGTCTTGTCTTTGTCTTTGTGTGGATGAATGGGGTCTTTGTTGTTGCTTTTGAAGTTTTGAACACAACTGTAGACTCTGTAGCACCAGGGACTGTGCTTTGATACTCATTGGATACGGTTGTAGAAATAAGATTTGTAGACTGTGCGGGGGGTGAAGATGATTCGGTGGTTTTCTCCCTGGTGAATTTGGAGGTTGTCGTATTTCCTGTGTCACTAAGCGTTGGAGGTACCCTTGTGGTCATGGTTGGGTTGCTGGCTTCACTGGTCACTGCTGTTGTTGCTGACGTCGTGGACTCCATGCCCATTGTGGAGCTTTCGGGCTGAAATGATTGGGAATGGGTTGCTGTTGTTGGAGTGTTTGGTGAAAGAGGTGTGGTTGGAGTTGTTTGCAGTAAAGGTGTATCACTGGGTTTTGTAGTCGTTTCATTAATCATGGTAGCCTGTGTGATGAGACCTAAAATCACTGAAGGTGGATTTGAGTTGGATGCCTCCTCTTTGGTTGACTGGTTGTGAATCATCACATCGGTGGCGTTAGGATTCTGGCTGGAGGGCCTGCTCGCCGTCAGTGACAACAGCAATACAAAGATAAACCTTAAGACATCCATGGTCATCATGGTCCTCATTTCCCCTCGTCCTCGGCTGGTTTGTTGACTCTTTGTTGCCAAAACAACGGAAATGATTCTGTAAGAAATGAAGAGCATAGAATGTGAGGCAATGTCCTTTTCAGAGGGTTTGATGGTTCGATTGTGACGCTGTTGTGAAATGTAACTTCTGCTGCATCACTTCCTCTAAATGTCACTTTGAAGTTTCAAAAGATTCAAGACGATCTTATCTGCAGATTATGTTCTTCACAAATGAATAAGTGTGTTAATAATGAGTAAAAGAGTAAAATGGCACCCGAGTCAGACTGATACCCGGTGATAATGAGTCTCTTCGTCTTGATTGGCTTTTTACACATCTATGTTGTTAATACCAGATGCAGCATTTCCATGTTCTTCATAGAATGTGTCATTTCTAAAACAATACTTCAAGTGATTTAGAGATGGCGTTTGGTAAAATCCTTACCAAACTGTCCTTATCCTTATCATTATGTGCTCTCTCCTACCTTTCTTTGTTTACGTGTTTTTTTCAGGATAGACATCAAAGTTAGATTTCAGAACAGTATTTTACAGCAGCTGTTAAAGACGACACAATAAACCTGAGGGCGGCCAAATATTATAATGTGTAATGAAGCTGTTTGAGATTTCAGAGCAGAAAAACACTTCAAAGACATTTCCTGTCTGTTAAAAATCCACCTTCCATCAGTGGAGCTTTTAAAAAACGTCTTCCACTTTAAAGCAGGAACCAGTCAAAGTTTTGAAAGTTGTGTTTCGGTAACTACTAAATCCATGGTTGGATAGTTTCTTTCTGCAGCAACATGTCAGAGTTGAAGCATGCTGTACTCTCAGGTGACAAAATAAATAAACTAAACTAAATGAAAGGAATACAGTATTAAAGTCCATTCATAGATCCTCGGCTATTTAACACAGTGTACGGGGACACTAGAGCCCTCCATGTATGAAATGTGACTCACCGTTGACTTGAACCAGACGGCCTCTTGTTCGGTATGTCGTTTAAAAATGGATGTATCAAAGAAAAAAACCTTTGATACTTTGCCGTCGTTTCTCTGTTGAGACGTACCTCGAATAAAAGAAGGAACTAAAGTCTTGGAAGGTTTCTCTGAGGAAATGTTGAGCCTTGCTTCACTTACAGGAAATGTGATGACAACCCGAGAGAGAGAGAGAGGGAGAGAGAGAGAGAGGGAAAGAGTGTACATCCCTGCTATGGAGGACGAGATCTGACAAAAGTATAAATAAATAAATAAATAAATACTGGAATAAATAAATAAAAGAATGAATGAATGAATAAATAAATAAATGCGTGAAATAAATAAATAAAAACTGGTAAATAAATGGGACATGAATAATTAAATGTCTTAAATTTATTTCTACATTTGTTTATTTCCACATTTATTTATTTCTACATTTATTTATTTATTTGCGGGGTCGTCGCTCACACCTGGTCGATTATTTTTTATTATTTTACTGCACACAAACATGTGAGAGAAGCCGATAGAAATGTAGGATGTGACGTGAATAATGAACAGATATTGACAAAAAGCAAATCAGTTTATTAAAAGCAGGCTTCTTTTCTTTTGCACAATAGTTATGTAATAACAGAAATATTAAGAAGGTATGGCCTTACACTGTGAAAACTCAGAAGCAGAATTCAACAAGGATTTATTTGAACAGTTAGTAGAACATGTACCAAACTTAACGAGCGTCATCTGAACGTGGCTTCAGCAGCTGCTGGAGGTCTCCCATCACTCTGTCTAATAAATCATTAGCTTCACTAAATTAAAGATTTATGAAGTAAGTGGGATCAAATATGTAGAGAATCATGTACAGTCAATGAACCTCTTTAATTCTGTCCTCTTGACTTTAGACCTCTCTGCTGCGTCGTCTTTTACAGCCCAGTTTAGAGATTTGAATAAATTCCACATTAAGCTACACACATGGGAAATGTACAAAAGACTGGGACTGGCTCTTTACCCCAACACGTTCTCTAGTATCATCAGAATGATAAACTTGTTTAAGTCGCATTTCCACTACAAAAACACCCCGAGAAAAAAACAACTTTAAAATGGCTTTTCATATGACAAATATTTATGGGTCTTTAGCTAACATCAGTCACACGTTTTTTCAAAAAAAAATTATATTTCTCAAAGGAAAGGATTCAAAAACGGTCCTGATGGGTTATGTGTTGGCACCAATCATCTAACTTGAGATCGATGCCCAGGCAGTGAGATATCTTACTGACATTAAAGTTAACTTTTGTGAGTTGTCATAAACTGGAAAGAAGAAGAACCTGCTACCACAACACATCAGCTGAATTGGCTGCTTTTTGTCTCGATGGAAGATTTTGGGTGCGCTGGTCTCTCCGAGTTGGGGTTACCTCCTCACACAACAAGGGGCATGTCCTCAAGATCTCTGGGAATCTCCAGACAGGAGTCCCTGGAGCTGGAGCTTTGCATCTGACCGGCCTTATCTTCAAGATTGAAAGCCATTGCTGCGGCTCCGCCTTCTTCTCGTATTTCAGCCTGACTGTCTTCCTCCTCCTTGCTGTCTGTTCTCACCTCCTCGAGCATTACGCTGGCATCACACGGACCGATCAGTCCTTGAGCCTCAGGACGGTCGTCGCCCCAGTAGCTCGCACTGCCCACTAAGTCCAGGTTGGACCTTGAGGTTCTTGGGACATGCACCCGGTGCTGAAGGTGCCAGACCTGACATGCCAGTACCACTGTGGTTACCAGCAGACAGAAAATCAGCCCCCCTGCACAACCCAAAGCAATAAGACCCATCTCAGTGTCGATTAGGCAGTCAGCTCGGGTGCCGTTTGTGTCTGTATCAAGATAGTTTGAGTGGTCGATGGTGGTGAAGTTGGGACCCGAAGCAGGGGTTGAAGTCCCACCTTGATCTTTTGTTGCCGAGGAGTACAGCAGTGTGGTTGAATGGTCTGCATGGGTAGGACAGAGTGTCAGCTGGTTGATCAGCAGAAACAGACAAAAGGTTCTTGTGCTTTCCATCATGACCTGAAATAAAGAAACAGTAAGTAGTATTCAAATCCTCCATCCATCACTTCAAGCCTGTAACTTCACATTAAAATAAACCTGATTGCTCTAACTAAGATGATGCAGCTCAGGTACTTCCATCTGTGCCAACACAAGAAGAGAGTTGATCTTCCAATGAAGTTCAGTACTTAGGAACATGATTATTTTCTAATGTGCTCATAAACAGTATTTTCTACATTTCTTCAGAGACTTACCTGAAGTAGTCTAGTTCTTTGGTCTTTGTTGGAGGATGCCGTGAGACAACTGTTGTAGTTGACCTCTTGATACGCTTTGAGCTTACTTCCTGACCCCTTTATGGGTCTATCTCTGGTCTGGTTATTTCAGGGCTTATGGTCTGATACCACAGACACCGAGGAGCTCTAACAAGAAAAGAGAGAAAAGAAAGAAAGTTTCTCAGAATCACACACAGCTATAACTCCTTAACTCGTGACATAAATTATGTTTTAACGAACCCCAACCCAAATAATGGATCATAATTGCAGAAAGATAATGACATCATTAAGGCTGAACACAAGTTTGACCTGTTTCTGATTTGTCTCCTCTCTTTAGGTTCAAAACCGGCCAGATTAATGGAGACCTGCTCATCTACCATGTTCTGCTCACCCTCAAACCCTACTATGCCAAACCCTACGAGATAGTGGTCGACCTAACCCACGTGGGACCCAGCAATCGCTTCAAGACGGACTTCCTGTCCAAATGGTTTGTGGTGTTTCCCGGTTTTGCCTATGAAAATGTTGCAGCTGTGTATGTGTACAACTGCAACACGTGGGTGAGGGAGTACACTAAGTACCATGAGAGGCTGCTGACGGGGCTGAAGGGCAGCAAACGGCTCCAGTTCATCGACTTTCCAGCTAAACTGGCCGAGCACATCGAGCCAGACCAACAGAAGCTGCCTGCAGCCACGCTGACCCTGGAGGAAGACCTCAAGGTGTTCCACAATGCCCTCAAGCTGGCCCACAAAGACACCAAGGTCTCCATAAAGGTGAGGATGTAGCCGTTACTCTTGGTTCTCAAAGGTTTAAATTGAATCTAAAGTGAACTTTGTTTAAGTTTTTGAAGATGTTTCATCTCTCCAGCGACCAGTTGTGTGTGGGATTGAACCTTGAACTACCATAACCTGGATGACTGATAACTTTCCCTGACATGTGACTAAGAAGTGCTGGACCCTTAACTTGTGTTCAGACTATAACCTCTGCACATGTAGGGCAACCTAACCGATAGGCCACCTAGCGCCCCCATTGCCGGCCTGTTTCTGATGCAACATCGGGGCTTCTAGATATTCCCGACACTGATCACAGATGACACCGATTCATGTTTTCCTGTTCTTTGAATCCACCAGAAAATATTTGTTTCCATTTTCCGTGAATCCATGAATCGCTGCTCAACGCTCCTGCTGTCCTTCTGGAAAGGATGAGTTAGATAGAGGTCAAGAGTATCATAAAAACAAAATGAACCTTTGGTTTCCTGTCACACTGTTTATTTTCTTGCTGCTCAGGTGGGCTCGACGGCAGTTCAGGTGACCTCAGCCGAGCGGACCCGCGTCCTCGGCCAGCCCGTCTTCCTTAACGATGTCTACTATGCCTCAGAGATCGAAGAGATTTGCCTGGTGGATGAGAGCCAGTTCACCCTCACCATGGCCAATCAGGGCACGCCGCTCACATTCATGCACCAGGAGTGCGACGCCATTGTCCAGTCTATCATCCACATCCGGACACGCTGGGAGTTGTCGCAGCCAGACTCCATCCCACAGCACACCAAGATCCGACCCAAAGACGTACCCGGGACTCTGCTCAACATCGCTCTGCTGAACCTGGGCAGCTCGGACCCCAGCCTCAGGTCAGTGCTTTCTCTATCCCAGTATGACGGAACAGGTGGGGCTCCTTTTGACACACGTGTTAAATAAAATCACATCCATGTTGTTGTCTGATTTTTTTGTATCAGGAGTTTTAGGTTCCAACTTTTGAAATGTTTTCTGTTTTTTTCATAAACTAAAAATGTCAAAAGAACTGTGTTTGGTTAAACAGTGCAGACCCGTGCACAGGCAGAGGGAGATGATGAAACACAAGCTCTAAAAGATATTTGAGGAATCCTTCAACTCCCTTGCTGCACTTCTCTTTCTCTAATTCCTCTTATTCATCATCCCTCACACGTCCAGGTCTGCAGCGTACAACCTGCTCTGTGCTCTGACTTGCACCTTCAACCTAAAGATCGAGGGTCAGCTGTTGGAGACGTCCGGCCTCTGCATCCCGGCCAACAACACCCTCTTCATCGTCTCCATCAGTAAGACTCTGGCTGCCAACGAGCCCCACCTGACCCTGGAGTTTCTGGAGGAGTGCATCTCAGGCTTCAGCAAATCCAGTAAGTTCTTGTGGACAGAGCGCCTGGTAGACATGATCTCACTTATATAAAACATTTTTAAAACCACATTTAAAAACTGAGGTCTGTGTTCATTTAGAGAGATAAAACATGTTAAAAATGTGCAGTTAGGGTATACAGAATATTTCAAAGTGAACCACCTCTAAACAGCCCTGCTTTAGGTTTGTTAAAGCTACTTCCTGTTGCAGGTATCGAGCTCAAGCACCTCTGTCTGGAGTACATGACGCCGTGGCTGCTCAACCTGGTCCGTTTCTGCAAACACAACGACGACGCCAAGCGCCAGCGTGTCACCGCTATTTTGGACAAACTCATCACCATGACAATCAATGAGAAGCAGATGTACCCCTCCATCCAGGCTAAGATCTGGGGCAGCCTGGGCCAGGTGAGTCCATTACACCTCCAGGTTTCAAACTTAAAAACCCTGATGTGTATTTAACCTCTGTGTGTCCTCAGATAACGGACCTGCTGGACGTGGTGCTTGACAGCTTCATAAAAACCAGCGCCACCGGAGGACTGGGCTCCATTAAAGCCGAGGTCATGGCCGACACTGCAGTGGCTCTGGCTTCAGGGAATGTCAAACTGGTCTCCAGTAAGGTGAGACTGAGTTTATACTGGTCTCCAGTAAGGTCAGACTGAGTTTATACTGGTCTACAGTAAGGTCAGACTGGGTCTATACTGGTCTCCAGTCTATGGATGCTGGACATTTGTGTTAAAAAGTAAATCAAATAAATAAGGAAGCAGCACACACTCTGATTTCCTGGTTTTTGTCCCGATCAGAGAAAAGCTCTCTGAGTCTGACCTCCCGCTGTGAACTAAAAGGTCACATTTAGTCTGTAAAACTCTGCTGCTTCATGAGGGTTCAGGGTTTGTAGTTATGAAGGCAGCACACAGTGCCTTCAGTGTGAAACATACTCGTAGGACTTTGTTATACCTTTACACTTGATGTGAGTTTGAGTTATTGACAAAGATGATTGTGTATATTTTACATAGAAAACGTTTATAGAAGAAGATTTTGAGCTTATTATAGATTCTAAAGGATCAGAGCGTCCTGACAGGATGAACAGAAGCAGATATAAAGGTATATTTTTGATTGACTTACTTTGAAATGGTTGAGAATAAATCCGAAGCTTAAAGTCGGTCCTGACTCAGAGTATCCAAAGAGACAAAGTCATCCTGACACCATCCATCATCTGTGAGCTCTGGACCGTCACAAACACAAACTCATCATACATAGAGACGGACGGACAGACACAATAGAAAAGCCAAGCCCTGGCTCCTATTATGGCAGACAGCAGCTCGCCTCTGAATGGGGACCATTGTGAAGGTTGTTGATGAAGAAGACACAGTCTGAGTCTAAAGTTGGAGTGCTGAACCATCTGTGATCCTAAGGTGTTCAAAGTGGATCATATTTAAGATATCACAGGAACAAGAGGTGACCATGTCTGTGTGAGCATACTTGACTCTTGTTCTCTCTGTGTTGTTATCGTCATAGTTACATCATAGTCTGATGTCATGGCAGGACAGCCTGCTGAAAACAAAGCAGCCTTGTCCGAGCCTCTTGAACTCTGTGTCACCCAGAGCAGAATAAACGTCTGTAAGCACAAACATATTATGGTCTGTATGAGCTCCATATCTGACCAGAAACCAACAGTCAGACGCTCTGTGGAGCCGTGCATTGTGCTTAGATTTCCTCTTTAAGGTTAACATTTTCAATACTTCAACACTTTTTCAGTTAAAATGAAACGGTCTCAAAGGTCCAATCAGTGAGATATGTAGTGAGTGAGAATATAAAGTGAGCTTACGATCTGATCAGACATTAAGGAATCATGCTATGTTGAAGTCTGGTCCCAACAATCTGGACCCTGTGAAGTTCCAGAAAGTGTTCTTCACTCACAGATGACTTCATGAGATGGACGAGAGCCTCCTTCACAGCCACTTATCTTAAACTTCACCATAACAGTTTCCTGTCTGACCTTTCTTTAACTCTCCGTGGCAGGTGATTGGTCGGATGTGTAAGATCATAGACAAGACGTGTCTGTCCCCCACGCCCACGCTGGAGCAGCACCTGATGTGGGACGACATCGCCATCTTGGCCCGCTACATGCTCATGCTGTCCTTCAACAACTCGCTGGACGTGGCTGCTCACCTGCCGTACCTGTTCCACGTGGTGACCTTGCTGGTGGCCACCGGGCCGCTCTCCCTCAGGGCCTCCACCCATGGTTTGGTCATCAACATCATTCACTCCCTGTGCACCTGCTCGCAGCTCAACTTCAGCGGTGAGGACTTCTTTCAGTCTGTTACCAATCTGATTTTTACCAGTTCACATTTCTTTTTCCTAATGAGTGAAGCTAAAGGGTTGAACTGTTTCCAACTTTGAATCTGTGACCTTACCGAACTATCTCTTTGGTTTATCAGTTTCTCTAAAGCTCCTGGAGTTTAAGTAACATAGGAAGTAAAGGAGCCTTTTGCTGCATATGAAGAGACGCGAATGAATATTCACGCCTCGTTTTGGCCGATAAAGTAAAAGAGAACATCGCAGTAAGATGGACTATTTCAAAAAACACATCTCAAATGTCTAAAACCTGAGAGAGTGAAAGAGACAAGAAACTTTGAATGATGTCCTCCATGAGGGAGAAATGTTCAAAGTAGAAGGAAGCTCTAATGCTCTCCACAGATGGAGGTGGGTGCTCTTACAGGAAGTTGTCCTATGCTAAGCTAGTTTGCATAACAGCAGGAAAAACACACACACACACACACACACACACACACACACACACACACACACACAAGGAATGCACACACACACCACAGTGAATGGACACACGGGTTAGGACGTTTGTAAAGGTGTGTGTTTATTGACAGTAAATGTTGATGTTGTTTTCAGAGGAGACTAAGCAGGTCCTGAGGCTGAGTCTGACCGAGTTCTCTCTGCCGAAGTTTTACCTTCTGTTCGGCATCAGCAAAGTCAAGTCGGCCGCTGTCATCGCCTTCCGCTCCAGCTACAGAGACCGCTCCTTCTCTCCAGGCTCGTACGAGAGGGAGACATTCGCCCTGTCGTCCCTGGAGACCGTCACCGAGGCCTTACTGGAGATCATGGAGGTCAGCAGACTAACTCTTATTACACACAAAGACTTCTCAATGACTAACATCACCGCCATCGAGCGTTTGTAGGGGGAGCATTAAGCCCTGTGTATACCCGCTTTTAACCACGCCAACGCATGACATCAGCCCCGCATATCCCGTGGAGGTTTGGAGTGTTATTTGTATACGTACTCAGAAATCAACGCTAAGCCTCTGCCTGACGCAATATGCCTATAACCACTAGGGGCAGTGTAGGGTCGGTGATGAGACCAGACGTTGCAACATCGGAGACACCAGAGAACCGTTACAACAACAGCGAGAACGTGACAGAAAAGTGAATCGATTGAGTCTCAAACTACGGTCGTTATCGGAGAATAAACATCTTTGTTCACATCACAGAATCTCTGATTTATGTGGTACTCCCTCTAGAGGAATCCTCCAGTAACATGCGTTGTACGGGCAAGTATGGGAACATCTCCGTTCTGACCATCTGGGGGTCTACGCATACGCCTCATTCAAAGTAGCTGACTGCTCTGACTTCTGCTCCCACATGGTTAAATCCAGCGATGTGTCCCTCATTTCAGCACCAGCTGAATATTAATGTATTTATTATTTACCTGTGTTTCTCTCCTCCAGGCGTGTATGAGGGACATCCCAGCCTGCAAGTGGTTAGACCAGTGGACCGAGCTGGCACAGAAGTATGAACCCCCCCCCCTTCTCCGTCTATGATCTTCATATGTTCATGATGTCAACGTTAACGTGCACTTTGTGTGTGTGTGTGTGTGTGTGTGTGTGTGTCTGTCTGTCTGTCTGTCTGTCTGTAGGTTTGCGTTCCAGTACAACCCGTCCCTGCAGCCCAGAGCTCTGGTGGTGTTCGGCTGCATCAGTAAGAGAGTGAGTCACGGTCAGATCAAACAGATCATCAGGATCCTCAGCAAGGCCAGCCCTCTGCTCAGCATCGACCGGGTGAGGATAACACCTCAAGATCATCCCCTCTACAGCCTGTGGGCTCACGGACGACATCTTTGAGTTACAATGATGTCGTCTGTGAGATCAGCTGATCTCTGAGTTAACATCAGAGCAGAACAAACCTAAATGAACAGTTAACTAGTCAGACTCTGACCCTCTCTCTCTCCTCCTCCTCCTCTTCTCTCTCTTCTTCTCCTCCTCTCTCTCTTCTTCTCCTCCTCTCTCTCTTCTCTCTCCTCCTCGCTCTCGTCTTCTCTCTCCCTCCTCCTCCCTCCTCCTCCTCTCTCCTCCTCAGGGTCTGGAGAGCTGTCTGAAGGGTCCTGATAATTATAACAGCCAGGTCTTGATCGAGGCCACGGTCATCGCTCTGACCAAACTGCAGCCTTTACTCAGCAAGGTAAAAAAAACAGTCAAACATGACGTCACACCTATGCACATTACAAACCTTGTGATGATGTATGTACACAACAACAACATCGCTTAATCTGTGTGTGTGTATGTGTGCAGGAGTCTCCCATGCACAAAGCTCTGTTCTGGGTTGCGGTGGCCGTGCTGCAGCTGGACGAGGTGAACCTCTATTCTGCAGGTACCGCCCTGCTGGAGCAGAACCTCCACACTCTGGACACCATGAGAGTGTTTAATGACAAGGTACCACACATACACACACACGTTTATACTTTCCTAACAAACTTTCCATCACTGAGACTACAGAGAGTATTATCAACAGTCCTTATGGAGGGACAAAAAAGCATGAGATTAAACTAATAATCATTCATTTCAGAATCAGCGAAACGTTGTGGAGATTAAATGTTTTTATTTTTCCAGCATCACATGCACGCCTATGGATGTTTATAAACGCAGTTTTAAAATGTAATAAAAATCATCTAATTATATATAGTATATGTAAATGAATGTAGTAAATCCACATGATGTAAGAACTGATCTGTAAACACATACGAGCGTTATTTTAGAAACATGTTTATTTAAACTCTAACTATCAAAGTTCTGCTGTGTACGAGGAGTAACCGTTCTCTTTCTTCCTCCTCCTCTGTCCTTCTCTCTCTCCTCCTCTCCCCTCCTACCCTCCTGCTCTCTCCCCCTCCTCTCTCTCCTCCTCCTCTCTCTCCTCCTCTCTCTCCTCTCCCCCCTCCTCCTCTTCCTCCTCCTCTCTCTGATCCTCCTCAACCTCCTCCTATCTCTCCCCTCCTCCTCCTCCTCTCCCCCCTCCTCCTCCTCCTCCTCTGATCCTCCCCAACATCCTCCTATCTCTCCCTTCTCCTCCTCTCCTCTCCTCCTCCTCTCTCTCCTCCTCCTCCTCTCTCTCCCCTCCTCCTCTCCCCTCCTCCTCCTCTTCTCCCCTCTTCCTCTCTCCCCCTCCTCTCTCCCCTCCTCCTCCTCCTCTCTCCCCTCCTCTTGTCCCCTCCTCCTCCTCTCTCCCCTCCTCCTCTGTCCTCTTCTCCCCTCCTCCTCTCTCCCCCCCTCCTCTCTCTCCTCCCATCTCCCCTCCTGCTGCTCCTCAGAGTCCAGAGGAGGTGTTCATGGAGATCAGGCGTCCTTTAGAGTGGCACTGTAAACAGATGGATCACTTTGTGGGCCTCAACTTCAACACTAACTTTAACTTTGCCCTGGTGGGACACCTGCTCAAAGGTGAGACATGTGAAAGTGTGTTCACTCAGCTGTTTGGTTCATGATGTAAAGTCTCACTCACATCCTCCTCCTCTCTCTGATCCTCCTCAACCTCCTCCTATCTCTCCCCTCCTCCTCCTCCTTTCTCTCCTCCTCTCCCCCCTCCTCATCGTGCCTCTGCAGGTTACAGACACCCGTCAGCCACCACTGTAGCCAGGACGGTGAGGATCCTGCACACTCTGCTGGCTCTCATCAGCAAACATCTCAAGTGTGACAAGTTTGAGGTCAACATCCACAGTGTGGCTTACCTGGCAGGTAAGAAAGACCCGTAGAGACACCTAGCATCTTCTCTTTTATTGATATGATCACTTGTTCATTCAGGGGATCCCTTTAAAGAGTAACCAGAGCGTAATATTAAAGAGAGCGTAATGAAGCTGTTCCAGATCCATGTCATGTCTTTGTGGGGGGGTTCTTAGTTCTGGATTGTCGGGGCCTTGATGACCTTCCTCTTCTTCTCCTTCTTTTTGGTTTCAGCTCTGCTAACTGTCTCTGAGGAGGTCCGGAGTCGCTGCAGCCTCAAACACAGAAAGTCTCTGCTGATCTCTGACCTCTCCATGGACCCAGTACCAATGGACACTTACTCCAGTCACGTCTCAGACCCCAGCTGCAGGTGAGCCCACCAACACTGTGGACCTGATTATTAAGGACCATATTCTGAGAGAGTCTTTGTAATGATACATAATCCACCTGACTTTGGAATGGGTCAGGGTTAGAATCTCAGGACT